CATAAACTGATGATGACATTATTAGAACACAACATGAACAGAAAATAAATATTACCCTAGATCATTTCGGCAATCAACTTGGCCTTAAGAGCTTCTTCAACATCAGTTAAAGGCTCTTTTTTTGGCAATGAGAGTCTCTAGGATATCCAGCTTCTTGATTTCTTTTTTTTTATGCCAAGTCTATCTCCTTAATTGCCCACAGGCGCTCAAACTCAGAGGAACTAGCTTCACTGGCTCTCTTAGCACTTCCTTTTTTCGATTCCTTAACACTAGGGGGACGTGGCTCACCTTCATTTGTAGTTGCCTGAGATCAGATTGAGCACCATCTTCACATTTTGTCTTCTTAGCGGTTCCATCCATCTTAAGTAGCAGCTTCACACCATTTTTGGTCATATCGCAGCTCCTCCCACGCATGTTGGAGGGTGAATCTGTGTTGATGATTTTCGGAGAAGATCGTGTGTGCTTCAAACACGACATCATTTTCATTCGTACCAGATTTTGGTTGCCTTGTTGCTGCGTGATAGGCTCCTGCAAATTTGCAGACTTGATCATTTATCTTTTGCCACCTTTGCTTGCACTGGATAGCCTCGCGCTTCTCAAAACATTAAACCTTCGGACTAGCGCCATAGTAAGTAGCCACTCGTGCCTAGAAAGCCCGTGCTTTTTGCTGGTTGTTTACAATTGGATCCTTGCTCGTGTTTATCCAGGCGCTAATGAGCACTATATCTTCTGTGGGAGTCCATTTCTTCCTCTCTTTGCGCTTTGTAGTTCTCTCTTCACCGATACTTGATGATTTCTGTACGTTGCGTACTAAAAACAGGGAGCTGGGACAAGCTTTTAGGAAGAAATGGTTGAGGACTGTAACAAACTTGTTGACTGTTCAAAAGATCTACAAAATTGTTCGAATCCATATCATAAAAAGAAGTAAAGTGAGAGTTTCACAAAGAAGAAGATACGGGTTTAATAGAAGAGAAGAGACAGTAGTTTTCATTTATTAACCGTCCTAATGTTAAACTAACACAAGCTTCGAGTTGAGTTAAGATGAGTTGACATAAATCTAACCAAATTATTACATTGCACACAGAGTCCTAGTGTAAAACTAAACTCAAGCATTGATCACAAACGTTTATTACATTGCACACATAAATCTAACACAAGCATTGATCACACGCGTTTTACCTAACCATAACCTAATTGTAGTTGGCATTTACTACAAGCCACGCATTGAAAATACCAGATTTGAAGATTGAAAAATTTACCTTACCAAGAAGCCCGAAGGAGTGGTTGGTTCTCCAAGACATGTGATGTGTTTTAGCCTCTTCGAGACATCAAGCTCAACCACCAATAGAGGACTCGCAAAAGAGATTAAACGGAATTAATAAACAGAATCAATACTCTATGTACAAAGTTAAGTAGATGATAATTAAATTGTAAACATAGATGACCAATAATAACAGCTTCAAGTAGGTGCTTTCTATTATGAAAATACACACACGAGTACACACATGAATAGACAAACGAAACAGAACAAACATAAGAGTTCAATATGAGCTATCATTCACTGGAACAACTCATTACACAAAGAATGATCAGTTTTAACTTAGAAACTATCAAGTCTAAACCTAGTCGGATTAGGACTATCAAAACACTACAAAAGAATTACAAAATTGCTCTCACAATCTTAACATAAATAAAAAAACTAGAGTTTGAACAACTCATTACTATCTTAACATAGATCATTCACTGACGGAGTAAGTAACCACACAAAGCTCTCTATGTATAACTTAAAAAAGCATGAAACGAGACTAAAGCGTTGATTTATACCTCGACAAAGACCTCAAGATCCACAAAATCGCTAGGATCCCCAGAACAAACACACCTGCAACGAGAAACACAGCACAAACCCCCTTCTTCAAAATCCAGACACTGAATCGTCTACACAAAAACAATTACAAAATTCGAATCTACTAAAAAGGAATACCGATTCTTATTACCTTGATGAAATCGCGGGGTCGATGGGAAGCAAGAGAGGAAGGAAGATCAGGGATTCTGGTTCTCATTCTGGAGAAGACTAGAGCTCTCGAAGTGAAACATGAGAAGGAGAGTGGAGATCGAGTTTAGGAAGAGATCTGGAGAACAAGGCGGTGAGAATCATCCGGAGGATGGCATCGTCTTGATTTCGATTCGACGAATCGTCCTTCGGAGAACACGAGGGAAGAGAGAAGACAGAGAAGTCGAAGAAAGAAAGAGAGAAAAATGAAAAATGAAAAAAAAAGAAGATGGGATCGTACATGAGTGATACGTGCACTCAGAACCCCTTTGGTAACCGGTGACAGAAGGCACAAAGTAGGGATGGGTAACATGCAATTAATTTGTTTTGATTTAATTAAATGGTCATTTAATTCTAAAAACCCCTAACAAAACCCGCGTTAAAGGTGCTCTAAGAATACTATTAGTGGTGATTTCTAGACGTCTATCAACACAAATAATAATAAAATATAATAAAGTTAGAAAGAGAGTAAGGCAAAGATGAGAATCGGATGTTTTAAAGAGATTTTAAAGACACATGAAGAAATCAATTCTACGTCGGTCTTCTATTTATGTAATACTTTTCTAGCTATTAAAATTTAATCAAGTTAATTTGGTGTGTTGAAATATAATTGCCTAAGGAACTGTGATAGAGAAACTTATAGGATGCTGAAGTTCTTGAGCCAATTAATATACTGACGTTGGAGCTGGCAAAAACACCCTTAACGGGAGTATGTAGTGGAGGATCTGGGGTCTGGAGAAATTAAAAGAAATTAACAATTTTGAAAAGAGCATAGAGAGAGGAAGAAAAGATTGTTGTAGAAGAACTCCAACAAAAAAATTAAGAGATACTTCTCTCCTATGTGTAGTGTTATAATTGGATTACTTTATTTTTTATGATTAAAATTTAACTATTAATTAAATTATATTACAACTTATAATATTAAAAAGACTAAAACCATTTTGATTCTCCTTCTCAAGAGACTAACGGTTGGTCATGCTCTAAGAACATCTCTAATGGAAGTTTCTAGCTCTCGGGTTCTCAATATATATCTTATATATTAAAACAGAAGTTATGACTTGATTTCATGAGAAAAAAAATACCTATACCCAGCTACGGTACATTCTAATTGTGAAACTAAAAACGGCGAATTTTCTCTCTACGGCGATTTCGATGGCGGCTCAATAGGTTCATGTATCGACGGCGGTGGAACCCAGGAATCATAGGAAATCAAAGATGGGGATTCTCGAATCCGAAGAGAAGGCAAGATGGAAAGTCTGGGATCTGTAGGGAAGTTTTGGAAATAGAATCGAGATGGGAGGCACAAGGGGATTCTCGAATTCTCCAGCAATTTCGACAGGGAATAATAAGGAAACTATCAAGATCTGAAGATAGTGAAATTGAAGGTATGATTCTTGTTATCATCAAAACAGAATCTTGTCATTTCATCTGGAGTGTCTTAACGACCAAGGTCAGATCGGTAAGAAGGGTTTTTAGGAAATTGAAGATTTTTTTGAGTTTTGACATTAATCTCGAGAAGATTTCGTCTGGGCATTTTGATCTTATGGTATCAGAGGAATTATTGGTATCTAACCTAGGGAGTGGAGGTGGTGGTACGCAGTATAAAAGGAGACTTGCCTTTCAGTCTCTTTGTGTTACAACTCGAAATTTTCCAGTCTCACAGTACAACACCCTAACTTGCTTTTTAATTCCTATCTTCAAAATGTCTCAAAGTCTCTTCATTGGAGCATCAGGAGAGCAGAATAATGGGGATGGAGGCCGTAAGAGACTCAAGATCTCGGTTCCACATTTCAACAACTCTGCTCTCATTAAGGGCTACTCCAAAACGTTGATTGGACGATGCATGAATCCAGCGGAACAGAACATCAAGTACCTCTTGGGGACGCTTCCAAAAATTTGGAATTTGGAAGAGAAGGTGGTGGGAACTGATTTGGGCTTGGGGCGTTTTCAGTTTGATTTTGACGAGGAAGCTGATATCGACACGGTGTTAAGGATGCAGCCCTTCCATTTTGACTATTGGATGCTATCTCTGGTACGTTGGCAACCAATGAAAGTAAGAAACTACCCCTCTGCCATCACCTTTTGGATCAAAGTTTTGGGAGTGCCTTTGGAGTTTTGGGAGGATCCCACCTTTAGGAGTATTGGGAATGCGATAGGTGAGACAAAGGAGGTAGATTTGGATTATGGTCGGATTCAAGTGGTTCTGGATGGCTATAAGGAATTGGTCTTTGAGACGACGGTGGATTTTGCTGGTGGGGAATTCTATGATGATCAGGAGGTTCCAGTTACGCTTCAATATGAGAAGCTGTTTGGCTTTTGTGAAACGTGCTTCAGCCTTTGCCATAAGAAGGAGAAGTGTCCCTTAACCATACAGAATTTGGAGAAGAAGCAGGTGTTTTTGGATGATGATGCAGAGAGATATAATGATAGAGCTCGGAGTTACAAAGGAGTGGTTTTGAATGGTAATGGTGGTCAACAAGAGAGGGGTCGGGAGAAGAGGGAGTATCAAGGTAAGGGCAAGGGGAAAATGTTTCCAGAGGAGTCACAGTGGATTCGAGCAGGGGAGAAAGAGACCAGGAAGCAGTTCAACAAGACTCGAAGTGGTCATCGTGTGGAAGAGGAGAGCTCTCGCCACCGGAGTTCTAGAAGAGATCACTCTCGGGTTGATCATCAAGAGGAGAGAGAAAGAACTTCTGGAGTTAACAGAGGGGAGAGAGGAACTCGTACTGAGTCAAATCGAGCAGGCGAGGCAGATGGAATGCCCAGAGGAGTGAATCAGGGTAGTCAGGAGGGGGGGTTAGCTGACCCAGTGCTGCCTTCTCCAGCTTTCTTGGCGGAGTTACAGGAAACAGTGGAAGCTATCCCTCCGGTGACTTTAGGTATTGATGGAGAGGCAGCTTTAAAGTTACCTGAAATCCATCAAAATGAAGCCGACGTTTCTGGGTTGGAGATGGGACTAACTGCAGACGGTATTACATCGGATGGGGAAGTGGAATTGGACATAAAAATGCAGGAGGCTTCTGAGCCTGAAGAAATTCATGAGGCTGATGATATTGGAATGGAAATTTCTCAGGCAGAATCGGTTGAGGATGGCAAACTAATGGAGGGAGTTGAGAAAAAGCAAGGAGCACGCCGTAAACCCATTAGGTCTTTGGTTGCAGGCGCTTCCAACAAGATGAAGACGGCTCAAATGCTGGTATCCAAACGCCAAGTTCCTAAGACGGGTGGTCGTCAAGGAGATAATTCAAAACAGGGGGAAGACAAGGGTCCTTTAAACCCAAAACAAGCTTCTTCAAAGAACTGAGCTTTTTATGGATCAAGTCATTGCCAATGATGTTAGGAGCTGGGGAGATTGCTGGTGCTCGTGGATGCTTCAGTTTGGTTTTTGTTTTTATGTTATTTCATTATTAATAAGCTCTTTGAGCATTGCTGTTTGTTTTGTCTTTTGGTGTATTGTGGGCAGCTTTTGCTTTGCCCTCTGTGGCCATTTCAATGGCTTTTTGGTTATGTTTCAGTTATGGAATAAAAGAGGAATGATATTTTCCTTAGGGTGGTCCCTTTTTCATCGGAAGTCCAGAGGCTATCCCATATCTCTTTTTTTATGCTTAAGAAATTGTCAGATGTGTGTGGCTTTATGGTATATCGGGGTTGTCCCTATTTGGAGATTTGTAGGGTTCTGGATAGTGTGTTCATGGTGTATGTGGCACTGGCATATCAGGGTTTTCCTATATCTTCACGAAACATTTTCTCTATGGTTCTCTGGTTTCTTTCTTGGGGAGTTTGAAAGGACCAGTTTATCAAATGTAGTACGGAGTACAAGTAGGAACCTATGTTGGGATCTTGCCTTTTTTCATTCTTCTGTTACCGCTGAGGAAGATATGTTCTGCTACTTTGATGATTCTAAGTGTCAAATAATGTTCAGGTCTAGTGTATTAGTACTTTGGTCTCTTCTCGGTTTTGGTTCTTGGTATTATAATGGTATTAAAGTGCTAAACAGACTTGTTTCATCAATCCGAAATGCCTATAGTCAGGGTGAATCTCTGGTCTATTACATATATTTTAAGAAAACATTGCGAGGGTATGAATTGTTTGGGAATTGTGGGCAAAGAATAGTGGAGGATGATACACAGTTTCGAGATATGAGAGGGACAGCGGGAAGCAGAGGGCGATCACAGTTTGTGTGGCCCGAGAATTTTTGGCGCCTTATTTTATATCTCACTAGACAAAGGGCTTTTCTTTTATCTGGGGAAAGAAGACTGTTAATCTTGATCCCACGAGTAAGTGTGGGTATTTAAAATGATACTAGTAGGGGATCTTTAACCCCATTTGGCAACCAATTCTCAATTTTTTTTAATGCGAATATTAAGTTGGAATTGTAGAGGAATGGGAAGTAAGTGGACGATAAGTTATCTACGGGAAATATGGCAGAAACATAGACCGGACTTTTTGTTTTTATCAGAAACAAAACAAGATCGGGAGTTTGTTCAAGGGTTTCAAGCGCATTTTGGATTTGATAATTTGATTACAGTGGACCCAGTTGGTAGGAGCGGAGGACTTGCTCTTTTCTATAATAATGAGTTTCAAGTACAGATCTTATACTCAAGTAATAGGATGATTGACGTCGAAGCTGAGACGATGGGAAGAAAAATATTTCTAACCTTCGTCTATGGCGATCCGGTCCGGGATCTACGGGAACAGGTTTGGGAACGCTTAACTCGTTATGGTCTAGCCAGATCAGAACCTTGGTTTCTTATCGGAGATCTAAACGAGATTACTGGAAATCATGAAAAGGAAGGAGGGGCGTTACGGGATTTGGCTTCATTTGTACCTTTTAATAATATGATTAGGAATAGTGGGTTAATTGAGTTCCCGGCTCGAGGAAATAAAATGTCATGGCAAGGACGGAGAGGAAAAGGGAAAGGGGGCAGTCATGATAAGATGTCGTTCAGACCGTGCACTAGCAAATGAAGAATGGCATACGGTTTTCCCGCACTCCTATACAGAATATTTGGGAATGGTAGGCTCGGATCACCGTCCACTTGTCGCATATATGGAGGATAAAATTTATAAGAGGAGGGGTCAATTTCGATTTGATAAGAGATGGATTGGCAAGGAGGGTTTTATGGAATCGATCGTAGCTGGCTGGGAAGAAGTTAATCATGGCCAGGGAGATGGGTTGGTCACAAAGATTAGTAACTGCAGGCATGAGATAGCAAGGTGGAGGAAGAATAATCCTCCATATGGAAGAGAGAAAATTCAAGATCTTCAAAGAGCTCTAGAGGAAGTAAAAACGGATGATAATAGAACACAAGAAGATATTTTGGATGTGTCTAGGAAATTACAAGATGCTTACAAAGATGAGGAGGATTACTGGTATCAGAAGAGCCGTAATATGTGGTACTCTTCGGGCGATCTTAATACCAAGTTTTATCATGCTTCAACGAAACAGAGACGGGTGCGAAATAGGATCGTCGGCCTTCATGATGATGATGGAAATTGGATAACCGAGGATAAGGGGGTGGAACAAGTAGCAGTGAGCTATTTTGAAGAGCTGTTTACCTCCATATCCCCATCGGAGTTTGATGGTTTCCTGGAGGAGGTTCCTTCTAATATTACGCCTCAAATGAATCATAGTTTGCTGCGGATGGCCACAGAGGAGGAGATTAGACAAACGCTCTTTATGATGCATCCAGAGAAAGCGCCAGGTCCTGATGGCATGACAGCACTGTTCTTCCAACATTCCTGGCATGTCATTAAGAATGATTTGGTAGAAATGGTGAATAATTTTTTGGTCTCGGGAGTCTTGGATGCTCGCTTAAATATTACTCACATTTGTATGATCCCAAAGACGGAGAGGCCCACCAGGATGACGGAACTTAGACCGATAAGTCTGTGCAATGTTGGATATAAAATCATCTCTAAACTGCTTTGTCAACGACTGAAAGGCTGTTTACCTAAGCTAATATCGGAAACCCAATCGGCTTTTGTTCCAGGGCGTTTAATATCAGATAATATTTTAATTGCTCAGGAGATGTTTCATGGGCTACGAGCTAATAAATCTTGTCAGGAGAAGTTTATGGCGATCAAAACAGATATGAGTAAAGCATATGACCGGGTGGAGTGGAGTTTTATTCAAGCTTTATTGCACAAGATGGGTTTTGACCCCCATTGGATAAAGCTCCTAATGGAATGTATATCGTCTGTACAGTATCGAGTATTGATAAATGGTCAACCTAAAGGGTCCATCATCCCGCAGAGAGGATTACGACAAGGGGATCCGTTATCTCCTTATCTCTTTATTATGTGTACAGAGGCGTTAATCACAAATATTAAAAAGGCGGAACGATTAAAGAGATTAACGGGAATGAAGGTGGCTAGAGCATGTCCTGCGATTTCTCATCTTCTTTTTGCGGATGATAGTCTCTTTTTTTGCAAGGCGGTACCGGAGGAGTGTCAAACTATACTTACTATTCTTAAGGAATACGAGGCGGTTTCAGGTCAACTAATTAATTTTCAGAAGTCTTCAATTCAGTTTGGCCATAGAATTGGGGAGGAGAACAGACAACAGCTAAGGGATATTCTTGGTATTCAGAATATTGGAGGCATGGGCACTTACCTTGGTCTACCTGAGAACCTAGGGGGATCTAAGATACAGGTTTTCGGCTTTGTACAAGAACGATTAAATAAAAGAGTTAATGGATGGACATTCCGGTTTTTTACAAAGGGAGGGAAAGAAGTAATTATCAAATCGGTGGTTACGGCTTTACCGAATCATGTGATGTCATGCTATCGGTTACCTAAGGCTACCACGAAGAAACTTACGAGTGCTATCGCGCAATTCTGGTGGAGCCCGGGGAGTAGCACAAGAGGAATGCATTGGAAATCATGGGATAAGTTGTGCCTCGATAAGGAAGCGGGAGGGCTGGGCTTTAAGGATATTGGATTTTAATACGGCTATGCTTGGCAAACAATTATGGCGTCTTATTGAGAAACCTAATACATTATTTTCTCGAGTTTTCAAAGGTCGGTACTATAGGAATGGATCACCTTTAGAACCGATTCGATCATATTCTCCGTCATATGGTTGGAGGAGTATGATCTCAGCTAGATCTCTGTTTAACAAAGGACTTATTAAACGGGTGGGATCAGGATCATCTATCTCCGTATGGAACGACCCCTGGCTCCCAACCACTCGCCCGAGACCAGCAAATACAAATCAACAATATTCTAACTTTTCTTCGGATCTCACAGTGGATTCTCTCATCAATATAGCTACCCGGAGTTGGAATATGCCGAGGATTCGTGCTTTAGTGGACCCCCAACACGCGAAGATAATAGAGAGCATTCCACTTAGCAGAGTACAAATGGCAGATAGGATTGGATGGCACTTTTCCAAATCTGGTAAATATACAGTAAAGTCCGGTTATCAGGTTGAAAGAGTGTACCCGGATAGAGGAAGGCAGACTGCGGTCCAGGGGCCTACAGTAGATGCTTTAAAAGCTTTCTGCTGGAAGGTCAGATGTCCTCCCAAGATAAAACATTTCCTCTGGCAATTGATATCGGGTTGTATTGCGGTTAAGAAAAATCTACAGGCAAGAGGGGTTAAAGGTGATATATGTTGCGACAGATGTGGTGCTGAGGTGGAATCGGTTAATCATATATTCTTTGAATGTCCACCAGCGCGTCAAGTTTGGGCTTTGTCAAGGATTCCTCTGAATCCGGTTACCTTCCCTACGGAGTCTTTATTTTCCAGTATGGACCATTTATTTTGGAGGGTTACTCCCAAAATGGATGATCACCATTTTGCATGGATATTGTGGTACATTTGGAAGGGACGCAATAGTAAAACTTTTAGTAATTTGGATGTAGATCCGAAGGACACACTCATATTGGCGGAGACTGAATCAACTCTGTAGGAGGAGGCTCAAATTAAAAAATCTCCGACTGATATACAATCAGTGACAGTGGCGGCCATACCAGTGATACCAGGACGCTGGTGTTTTATCGATGGTTCCTGGAAGGATAAGGATATGTTTGATGGGCATGGCTGGTATAGTACTCTTGAGGGTTTTGTAGGTTTAATGGGTGCACGAAATACTAGAGCCAGCATTTCACCTCTTCATTGTGAGGTGGAAGCGCTCATTTGGGCGATGGAGTGTATGAGGAATTTGCGCCAGTATTACGTTACGTTTGCAACAGATTGTGCTCAGGTGGTGAAGATGGTTTCGGAACCCGAAGAGTGGCCCGCTTTTGCAAATTATTTGGAGGACATCAAGATGCTCCAAGAGAATTTTCACAGCTCGT